TCAAGTTCCTCTTCTGAATGCGTGCGCGCAGCTTACTTAGTAATAACTAAAAAGTGTAGTTAACTCATTTGTGAATCTCTAACTGAAATTTACTGTAAAAGATAATAATTATCTTGTATGAAATTTTTGATGACTACCCATAATATCTTGATGCGGTGCTGTAATGTCTCCTGCGCCTAAACACTCACTCACGAGCAATATGCGTGTATTTGTTTGGGTTTAGTTTCTTTCTTCAGCGCCTAGAGAATAATTTATTTATCTTGACTAAATAGAACATTTATGTACACCACTGACTAATTCTTATGTCGCGCCACTGACTGAACTATACTCCACTCAGCTCTACTCTTCCCTAATGCCAACTCGAGGCCATCTGTATACAGTTCGAAGTTGAGTCATTTATTTTAACAGTGAGTAGATCTGATCAAAAGAAATGTTTTTTTCCTTTAACATTTTTGTGGTAAAATTAAAGTAACAAAGTTATAGCCCTTTAGAAGTTTGAGTACCGCCCTGTCTCAATAATAATATTATGTGCTCGTGTTTGGCGACAACGGATATACTCCACCTTATCGGTTCATCGCATCGGAAACAAAAAAGCGAAAGAATTTGAAACGCTGATCACGATGTTTTTATTCAGTCTATGTCAGTCGGTAACGCGTGAGTGAATAGTGGTGCTTGCTGCGTGGCTCAAACGAAATAAAAAATGGCACATATTTATGCGGATCGGTTTCCCAATCGAGTGCAACCAACCCCTCGTGCCTTTGTTAATGTAGTACAACGGGCTCGTGAATCAGGTGACTTAAGACCTCACAGGGGACTGCATGCCGGTGCTCCAAGACCTCACGATCAAATACAGGTCCGCACTGAAATACTTGTCGGGAGGATACTTTACAACACAAGGCAAAAATTTTTTTTAATTTTTTTTATTTTTACACACATATTTTGGTTTATCTTCCTTCTACAATCATTATCTAAAAATTAATGACTCAACTTCAAAGTCCCCTGTATAGTCCGCATCACAGGTACTCGTCGAGTCGAGAAGATTCCGGCGAGCGATAAAGCGGCTGTCTAGAATATTCGAGGTCACTTCGCGTCGATCTAGAAGGCGAGTCACTGGCATGGTCCTCAACAGATGGCGCCAACGGTACTATTCATTATAGTTACAGTATCTCAAAAAATATCGATACTGGATGCTATCGGAAATTCTGTAAAAATTCAATTGGCTTATTATTTCAGAATATTACATAGATATTGGATACATCAGAGCATTTTATAGATTATACTAGATAAAAACGAGACTTGTGAACATGATATCAAAATGATGATATTTCTACAGTCTCATATATATATATATATGAGACGTGGTCACTGTCGTCTAGACAAGTTAGTTGAAAATAAAGCGGAAGCCTTTTGTTGGGTACCTCGACAAAATTCAAGCAATGAGGACTCTTTATACTCTATTGGTCTCTAGCTTTCAATGGACTTTGCCATCATCATCAGGAGTTGCAATAACATTAAGAAGAAGTAGCAACCATTGTGCAAAATGACTTTAAATTACTTACTTTAAGGTCCTCATCGCTTGAATTTTGTCGAAGTACCCATCTAAAGGCGGAAGCTTTATTTTTCACCTATATATATATATATACAGGGTGTCCGCAAAGTTGGGGTTTTCCTTTTCAGAAACAACTACCCTTGAAATAACAAAGGTAATGTGTAGTGAAACGAGGGCGACCAAGTAAAAAAAATAAAGGAAAAAGTACTCACTCTCCAGTTGACGAGAAGGGCTAAGTACGTCTCTGCCCGAAATCATACCGCTCCAACAGAAAATGAAATCAGCTGATGCGCTACCGAGTTGACGCAGGAACCACATTGATTCTCTTACACTTAATGGCACATCTTCTAACAAGGAAGGCAAAATGTTGCGTAAAAAGTCTAGGTATTACATCCCGTCCAATCGATTTGGGAGAATAAATGGTCCAATGAGCATACCGTTCACCATGCCAGCCCAAACATTCACCGAAAATGTTTGTTGAAAATGTGCCCGACGGATAGCGTGCGGATTTTCTACTGACCAAACATGAGTGTTGCGAAAGTTATTCACGCCATTACGCGTGAACGTAGATTCGTCTGTCACCAATATGCACTTCAAAAAGTCCGGATTATTGTCATGTTGATGCAACAACCACTCACAAAACCGCACTCTTGCTGGAAAATCGTCAGGTTGAAGGGCTTGTACACGTTGGACGTGAAACGGATACAGCCCCTCTTCACGCAGCGTTTGCCACACTTTAGTTTTTGATACTTGCACTTCTCTAGCCACGTCTCTAGTGCTTGTTGAGGGATTCTCGTCTACGCGATTACCTCTACACGCGTGACCGTAACGTCGGTTGAAGGTTGCATACTGACTTGACACACTGACCCCGACCCAGTTCTGTCGTCGGGTTGAGCTAGTGTCCTAGTACCAGTCGGGGATGTCGCGGCTACAGGACGGTATTCAGATATTTTTGATGTTGCAGAGCCCTTTATCTCGGTTCCCTTAAGACATTGGTGTATGTGGTACTAAGAAAAATTGCTTATGTTTTCAAGATCTACACGTAGTGTAAAGGAAAACCCCAACTTTGCGGACACCCTATATATAATCAGACTGTAGAAATATCAACATTTTGATATCATGTTTACACGTCTCGTTTAAGAATGATCATGCGGAGAAAGGTATATAACAAGGCAGCAGCGGTGGCCGCAGTAGTAGACTCTTCGGTCTCCTGATCAGTCGCCGTGCGCTGTGCGGGATCGAATCCCGTCCCAGGAGAAATTTTTCTCTTGGCTATGGATGTTGTGATTGTCCTTAGGTGGTAGACGGTCTTTGACTGTCGAACGCGGAGGTACCACTTGGCGGATCTCGTAGGCGGGGCCAGAATGTGTGCATATTGCATGCACACGTGTTCCCTCGCCAGAGTCCGTGTGGCGTTCCCCCTTTCCCCTGTATCCCCCTATAGCCCCACGGTTCCCCCTGGGTGTTTAGGACTTAGTCCTTCATGGTGGTTGGAGTATAAAAAAACTAGGAAAATAGTGGGCAAATTCCGCAAAAAAAAGGAAAGTGGATTCGAGCAGGAAGTAGGATAAGTAACCCGAGCGATATTTCTGCTTGTTGGCTTCATCAGGCCCGAAGTCAATGCACATATGCAACCACAAAAGTAGATACACGTGCCCACACATCCGGATACGGGTGTAACCTGAAGAAACAAAGATGGAGGTGGAAAAATAACACACGAAGTCCACATCAAGAGCTAACCTACACATTGTAGTATAATATGGCTAGAATACCTCCAATTTTCAAGGCGACAACTAACCACAACCACGCGGGCTGGTTATAGCCATTCTGATAAACGTGTAAAGGCGAGAATACACGTGCCAGTAAAATTGCATGCCCGTGGCCAGTAACTTGTATGCTAACTACTTGCCCTTCGTGTTGCTCGGAAACACATGCTAGTTTTGGATATGTCAGTCTGCGTCCTCGGAACGTACACCCAGATGTGCAAGTGTTGAAGAGAACAAAATTTGAGTTTTTGAGATGGAACTGTCCCATTTGAAAAGTGAACAATATGGGTGGAAAACTGGATCAGTAGACGTCATATCTATTTAGCAAGTGATAGTCAATGCGACAAGAAGACTTAAGACAGATATAAAAATGACTCTCGTCTGCCTCCAGAGAAGTTCGATGAACTCCTGTCTCAGATGAACAATAAAATTCTGTCTAACTTGCACTTGAGCGCGAAGATTCCTTTATCTTCTTTAACACTTGGCGATAAGTTGTTCTTAGGTTTTTTATTTTATTTTTGATACATTTCAATGTTATCATCATTCATATGCTCCAATAAAGATTTATAATTGTTGACTCTAGCGATTCTATTTTTATACATTGAAGATGATGTAGCCGACAAACATTGATACTACCTATACTGCATAATAAACAATAATTTTCATTTTTCCACGATTTTAAAAATATATTTGAGGACTAGTCGTTCGTCACATGCTAGGTACTGGCAATGACGCCGTCAAACATGTTTCGACACGAATTGCATGCTTCTACCCCTCCACGCACTTGACGAAATCCGTCTACTGCCACATTATAGACTATACCCCATTCGTAGTCCATTAACCCCCAGACCAAACACAAGATGCCCAAAAGCGAGATTGTACAGGTCTGTATTTTCCTCAATTGTCTTGGAATAATCTAACAAAATAAATGATTATTTTATAGAAAGAACTGCACATACTTTTCCCAATTCTTGTAGTACTTGAACCATCGTCCGAATGGTTAATATTAATTATTACAGGTTCAATTTGAGTATCGATCATATTGTCCAGATCCCACATCTTTGTTCCGATTGTCTCTTGAACGTGACTGTTGCAATCTCTCCAATTGTTTATCGTCACTCTGTTGACAGCTTCATAAAACAATTTTTTTACGTTAGAAAATTAGAAAGTTCTGTTGTTTGAAGCCAGATAGTTTTTTTATATTTTCCCAAATCATTTCTATAGGATTTAATTCGCAGTGATAAGGTTAGCCTTAAAACGGTATTACTTTGGTTTTTAGCCGCGCTGCAACTTTGCTGGACTACGAGTAGGGTTATAGCAGAGTTCCCCAAACTTTTTTGTGTCGTAGACCCCTTGCAATGTTTTTCCGTGTTGGGTAGACCCCCTGCTTACCTGATATTGATTTCCTGTAAATTTCTAACTGTAGTGAAGTTTAGTGTTAAAAAATTAAAGTAAAAACACATGTTAATTTATACATTTATTAATTGAATTTAAATTAAAACTACTCAAAATAAAATTTTGTATCTATTATGTAAAATATACGTAACATTAAATAAACAGGTGTCTGACCAATAAGTGCCCGCATTGGGAATAAGTGCCCCCATTGAAAAAAAAAATAAGAGGGATAAAATAAAAAAAAAGTGAAAAATAATAAAAAAAAGTTGTTTACTTAAAATAGTACAATAAGCGAGTTCGTTTATTAATTATAACATAAACGTATGTTCTACAATAATTTCACTGTTAGTTTGATTAAATTCCGCTTCTTATACGTTTAAGTTATCTAAGAATAGGCAAAACATTAACGAATTTTAGTGTATACCTATCCTTGAATTTTCAGAATAATTTAAAAAAAAATATTTTCTATAAAGGGGGTTCTTTAAAAAAATCAATGCGGGCACTTATTTCCAATGCGGGCATTTATTGGTCAGACACCAATAAACATAAAATAAACTATAAATAAAATAACATAAGCAATAAGTCAATATTTTTAGTGAGAAGGATGAACCTGTTGCTTTAATAATAAATTATCAACATTTGGCGTTAATTTTGTAAGGGTTAATCTTAAATCTCCTCGGCTAATGATGTCCAGTCCATTTCTTTTTTTCGTTAGGAGATTGGTAACAGCGCTGAACCCCCTTTCCACTAGGTATGACGATGGAAAGGAAATTAAAAATGTCCTCGCTATATTCCATAATACGGGATAAGTAACGGGTATGTTGTTTTGCAGCCAGAATGGCTGATATCCGTTTTTAAACTGAACCTTAAGTTCTTCGTTTGTACTTAGTTCAGTCAGTTCCTCTTGTATTATGACATTCGTTTCTTCTATGTCACCATATGGATGGTGGTATTACCATAGTCAAAATATCCTCAAACCTAGATTCAAAATCTGAATAGAGGGCATTTAAATGTTGAACGTAAGTTGAAACGTCGTCTTCCTGGCAGCTTGTCTGTGACAAATTGGGGAACTGAGAAAATTCGCCCCGTCCAATATTTTGCTTCATTAGTTTAACTCTGGCAAGAAACGCTGATAAGATGGACTTTGTTTTAATTGCAAATTAACCATATTAAATTTTGTAAACAAATCTGTTAAATAGGCGAAGTCTGTTTTCCTCTTCAATAAATTTTCTTTTAAAATTTTATCTTTAGTATCCAGAAATTCTGAAATAGTCTCAAAAAGAGCAAAAAATCTTTTCAAACATAAGCCTTTCGATAGCCAGCGTACTTCAGTGTGAAGGAGTAATTGATGAAAGTGTTCGTCATTTTCTTCACACAACTGCGCAAATAACCGCGTATTCAACGCGTTGATTCGGATTCGGTTTACTGCATCAATGACTAAATGAAGTGATTCATGCAATCTAACACTCAAATTTTTAGCAACTAAATGTTGTCGATGGATGACGCAATGTATTGCTAACACCCCTGACACATTTTGTTTTAAATAGCTTATAAATCCACGATAACGTCCAACCATGGCAGGTGCTCCATCTGTAGCTACTGATATTATATTTGATAAAGGAATTGCTTTTTCAATGAAGTAATCCTTCAAAACATGAAATATTGATTCACCTTTAGTGTCGGTTATCAAAGTTCTTGCAAAGAGCAGTTCTTCGTAGATTTCTTGATTCATAATAAAACGAACATATGCCAATAATAATGCTGCATTATCAGGTAAAGTTGACTCGTCAAGTTGTATAGAGAAATGGGTCGTTTGCAAATAATTACATACGAAGCTTTCAATATCAGAGCTCATTTCATCAATTCGTCTTTCGTATTGTTGCTTAAGGGAATTCTTTTAATGATATCAGATGCAGGTTTGTGTAAAACAGTTTTTAAAACCTCTTCAACGGCTGGCAAAATTAACTTCTCTCCGATAGTATGCGGTTTTCCGGATTTTGCTATAAGTAACGAGATATTGTAAGACGCCCGCAAACCATCATCATTTCTTTGTGACGTCGAAGCGAACATTCTGTTCAGTGTAGGTCTCTTCTGAAATTTATCTTTGAGTGTTTGAAAGTATTTCAAATCTTTCTCTGTTTTATCAGGGTGGCATCTTCTCAGATGATCTTGCAGTTTAGATGGTTTCATAGCGTCATTGCCCAAAACTTTGTTGAATAAAAGGCACATAGGTGATTGTTTGTCCGGCAATGATGGAATGAAGCCAAATTTCAAATAATCAACACTGTACTGTCTACATTTCTTTTTAGATTCGGACATGGCATCAGTCATCTGTGGGCAAAATTAAATTATTTAAATAAGACAGAAAATCCAGCAGCTGTATATTAAAAATATTCTTTGATTTTTCCGAAAACATTCCATAATTCGAACATCTTCTTGCAACAATTAGCTCGAATTACGGAGATTGCACTGTAATTATATTACCGATCGCTAAAACTTTCAAAAAGAAACTATTGAGGAGTACTCGTGTAATTTTGCATGATTGAATATTTAACTACTAATAACTAAAGTCATGATTGGCGTAATTTATCTATCTTTGCTAACTACGAGTACAAAACTAAAATTTAATAAAAAATAATGTACTTACTTTTCTCCAGCACTCTCAAACAAAATAACACTGACTCACTATAATTTGTGTGATATACTATCTGTTTATATTTTTTAAAATATTTTCTTAGCACTTTCCTTTTCAAGATTCAGGAAACGAGTAAACGTATTTGTCCCACATTCGTATTTATAGAGTGACGAATTGAACAAGTCAGTGCAAGGTAGCGAAGCTCTGAGACTGCGACTCTCAGGATTTTACATGTTCAAAATGTATTGCGACAACATCCTACAACTTACACAATTATATATAAATAATATAAACATATATAATACATTTTTTACTTCATAGGTACTTTTATAAATAATGTATATGTTTTGATATTATAAGATAGTATGATGTAAGTAAATAGGTACTATCAGTGTATGTGTTGAGATCCACTATCGTGGACCCCCATATTCATTTCATGGACCCCCAAATTTTTTTTCGCTGACGTAGACCCCTTGCAGGTTGTCATAGACCCCTAGGGGTCGATATAGACCCCTTTGGAAATCAATGGGTTACAGCCCACTTTCTAACTGGCAGCGAGAGTCACACATGCGCAAGTAACACGCTTCTTCCAGTGACTGGCATGCTTCTCTGCGTGTAGCTGGCACGTGTATTCTCGCCTTAACGCCGATGGCGTCGGCGTCCCTTATCATCGGCGCTATCAGCAACAGCAACGGCTCCTCGCGAAAAAATCGAACATCGCGTCAGCCGCGAACGGCAGTTCACCTCCTATTACTCCACTGTGACAGCTGGCAGCGCACTCTTGATTGATATTCACCTTTTCGCTGCCTGCCTGGCGTTATCACGGTTGGCGGTGACTGGAACAATCGCGCAGCGGCACGCGCGATCCATCGGGACGGCGCGACGCTGTTTTGATTTCGGGATTGGCCGGTGACGGCGGTGTGAGAATCGCGCCTTTTTTGATATTCGTATATCGTGTGATGGTTTGTGGAGGAGCAGTGCAGGTGACGGTGTAGTGACATGTTGCAGAACTAAGAGGGTGAGATAATATGGAGTTTTGAAATTCTGTCTTTAAAATTGTTTCAGAATTAGAGTTATTGGTGTTGGTTGCATGACAAAATTTCCAACCTCAAAATATTGCGATAAAACGATAAAATAAACTTTCATCGTGTTTAGTTCACCAAGACTGATTTAATTCCAATAATCTGCTTCATTATAAAGTTTTGCTATTGTTTTTGTACTTCTCGTGTTTTGCAGTGCGTAGGTGAATAACAGTCTTTTTGGTTGGAATTTTACGGCCAAAAACGGCAAAGGAAACTACTTTCCGTATATAAATTCTTTTATCTGCGAAGATTACTATAAAAAGTAAGGTTATTCGTACAAAAAGATAAGACAATAAATAGTCTTGGCTGTACCACGATTTTAAGCGTCCTTCAATAGTGGCAGGCACTGACCTTATCAATTCCAGGTCTTATTTTTGTTTTACTGCCTGACCAGATGTCAAATATGGCCAGGAATTATTAGTGCCTGGTTTCCTTGGACGTTCAACTCCCTAATACATTATTTCAAAAACTTGAACGTGGATGTTTCCAGTGTTTCTACATTCGTAAAATGACAAACATGTATTTGGAATTTTTGAGACCGATCAAACAATTTCCGAAAATACCTGAGGATTTCATGTTAGCTGAATTACCATAAACAAGAAATATTATCAGTACTTTCCTAACTTGCTAACAAAAAATTAAGATTTGAAACAGATTCATTTAAAAACTTCTTTGTGGTTATACCTATGTAGTGCATAAGATAAGGCCTGGCGTGTTCCGCAGTTTCAGTTGTAGAATCTACTTCAAGATGTTGCTTGGTGCTATTTCAGTTTAGAAAGATAAAAAAATCCCTGGTTGTTGAAGTAATTAACTTTATGTGGAATCTTACATTTTATACTTACCTAGTGCCACATATTGCAATTATTATATTCACTGTACACTGTCGAATTACAAGTCATATTCATGCTAATAGTAATTAAAAATAACGCGGGCACGGTGGTGACTTCTCGTAATTCTCCTCAAAGTTTTTGAAAACACAAAAAAACTGGAAAAATCATAATTTATAACTTTGAACATAACCTGACTTCAGAAAAGGCAACATATAAATAACCCTTCGGGCACAGCTTACAGATATACTTCATTGGTAGCATATTCAGTAATAATTTTCTCATATAGCAAATATCACTAATTTTATACACATGCAGGCCAATACACATAATCATGCAGATGCGATTTGCTACTCAATCAACTATCTTTCTTTCACATCTTCTCGGAGATAAACACTACTTGGCTCTCTGCAACCAACAATGCATGCTTGAGCGTATCGTGTCGTTGAGTCATCTCTCCATAGATGGCGCTCACAGCGATCATAGCCAGCAAACGAGGAATGAACTATATCCACACTAAAAACTACCTAGTCTGCAAGATGACATTTTGTCGATTTTTTTACGTTCTTTAGGTTTTTTGCATAATACTCCTGCATAAAACATTTTGAATCAATGGGTTGCTAACGCTCCCCTACGAGTGTTGAATTTAGAGATGGACTTGTTACTCAACGAAATGTAATTTCTGAATCTGAAATTTATCTGCTTCTGGATCTTTTACGAATATCCACAATAATCGTGGCTGTGTATCGTTTATTACTAATGTCTGCAATTTAATTGAAAACAGTAACCATGTTAAATCTACAATAAAACGCCCAATGATGTATCGCAAGCCCCAACTTCCTATTCAAAGATTCAGGTGTTTTTACCACCACTCCACTCAGAGGATGTTGATTGAAGGATGAAATTTTACAGAATAAGATGTTAATTTTGAATTCAAAATTGAACTGTTATTCGGTTTTACACGAATATACAGTATATTCACTGAATCAAAGCAGTTACGTCACAACGTCAAATAATGACAGTGACGCGCATGGTTGCCACATTACTTAAAATTACTAGATCCTAGGAAATAAACCACAAATAAACAACAGCCGTTGGCGTAATTACGAGACACGCTTTGCGACAATGTCACAACACAGAAAAGTGTTACCAACATAAATGTACCCGGGCAATTCAAACTTCACGTACAAATTTAGAATCTATTTTGCATTAAGGTTGGCATTCAAATTCACTAAATATGATGTAACTGCTTTGTTTCAGTGAAATACAGTAACAGAAATAACGAATTTATTTCATTTGGCATGGGTCTAAGCGAATATTTTTGTTTTTTATTTTTTCCCATAAAGCGAACAAAACATGGATAAATTGCATCACTCTTGAATAATGGATATATGGTACAGCTATTAAAATGCAATTATATGGGATGTTTCAAATTCGGTTAAATTGGGGCAAAGTTGCGTATTTAGGTAGTCAACAAAATGCCGCTTAGAAATTTAGAAGAACTTTCGGAGAGAGACGGAAGATAACAGAATTTTACCAAAATCGTTTTAATTTTATTTGTAGTGAGGTTTCAAAATAAAGCACGCATAAACATTGCCACTTTTTCTCCTCTACAAGATGGCATAATTAGAATTCCGATATAACGTTTCGTCTCTTGTACTCCAGCATCAACTTTATTTTGTATTATAGACGCTATATTGGATTTTTGCACAGATGAATATAACCTTTATCTCTTATTCCAAAAATGTATGATACGTCGTACATTGACATTGCTAAACCTTAGTTATGTCAAAAAAGCAGAATTTCCTAGGTAGGACTTGAAATTATCAGATAGTCATTAGTTGTGCGTACTAGATTTATCCCAAAATAATTTTGATTTTTTCCTGACTTCATTTGAGATGGCACCGCGGCTCTCAAGGCTATTCCGGAGAATGCCTTCCGTGACGCCTTCAATGCTTGGAAATCGCGCTGGCAGCGCTGCATCGACGCAGAAGGAGCCTATTTTGAAAGTTTTTAAAGAATTGTAACGATTGGCTCAATAATTTTTTTTAAATCGCCTCGGTCCTATTACTTTCCGGACAAACTCTGTATTGGATTTTTGCCCAAACAGGATAGAGTTTTCGATTCTGATTTACCTCTGCTTATTATTGTTACCATCATTTTGTGTGCAGGTTTCACCGTAACTTTTTATTTCCTTATAATTTTCATCCAGCAAAAAATTCATGGCCAACTAAGGAAATACATCACTCAATTTAGGATTGGACAGTCCATTTATATGTAAAAAAATCCGTCGAAAGAAGCAATGTCGAATTAAAAATTTGTCTGAGTTATCTTGAAGAGGAGAATAAGTAACAATGACAACATGCAATTTATTTTAAAATCCCATCTCAAATAAAGTCGGGAAAAGATAAAGGTGATTTTGTGGTAAATCTGGTATACGAAACAAATGACTATACTAAGTGACATATAAATCCGAACACCCAGTTTAAATGGTTTTATTTTAATAAAAGTTGGTGAATGTATTTATCTTACTGTAAATAACAAGTGAAAAAATTTTCAGCCTTATCAGTTGGACATTCCGGTTTTTATACTGTTTTTTTTTTAATTCACTAACGCTCTAAAAATGAATATTTCAGCAGCAGTAAAGAATCAACGTTGGCGGATTTTGGTTCTTGACATCCTTTACGATCGGTTACGATGTCTAGAGTACGGAGAACTGTACGATTTCGTCAACTTAGTGAGTTTGATAGGGGCCGTATAGTGGGACTTCGGGAAGCTGGACTTTCTTTTCGGGCAATTGCAGTTAGAGTGCAAAGAAGTGTAGACACTGTGGTTAGGTGTTGTCAGGCATGGCTTCGAGAAGGCCGTACGCAAAGAGCAAGGGGCACTGGACGCCGCCGTTGAACAACAGACCGTGAAGGTCGCCGCCTAAGATTATTGGCCTTAAGGGACGGTTTCTCCACCACCAGGTCCATTGCAAATAAATGGTTTGCAGATCACGGAAGACCTATTGGCATGCGAAGTGTTTACCGACGAATGAGAAGTTTTGGCTTGTTTTCATACCGGCCACACTGGGTCCTCCCTTTAACTCGAGAACACCGACGTAATCGCCTTGAGTGGTGCAGACAACGGTCACTCTGGGATCAGGAATGGAACAGTATTGTCTTTAGTGACGAGTCTCGATTGTGTTTAGGCATGCACGATGGTCGTGCCAGGGTGAGAAGGCGACGTGGTGAAAGGAGGAATCCACAGTTTTTTGTTGAAAGACATGTTCATCACACTGTTGGAGTTATGGTTTGGGGTGCTATAGCTTATGGTTCCAGGTCACCTTTAATCTTCATCAGAGGTAACATGAACGCGCAGCGTTATATCCACGAAGTTCTAGAACCCCATCTTTTACCCTATCTTGACACCCTGGCAGATCCAACTTTCCAACAAGATAATGCCCGACCACATGTTGCAAGAGTCACAATAGACTTCTTTCAACATAATGATGTCACATTGTTACCATGGCCACCAAGATCTCCCGACTTATCCCTAATTGAGCACGTGTGGGATATGATATAAAGGCGCGTTGGAGAATGCGTAGCACATCAGGGTGCATCCACACATTATTAAAGGTCAAAGGGCTTTAAAGCAGTGCAATCATTTTGAAATTTTCATCATTTACTTATTATGCTTAATTAAGTACTTATACAAAATTTTATTAAAATAAAACCATTTAAACTGGGTGTTCGGATTTATATGTCACTTAGTATATTTTGAACTCTCAACAAGCTCACTCCATTTTTCGTAATTTCAGGTCTTCCGAGTTACAATCAGTAGTATAAATATTAACCGTCTACCAAGTTACGTTCCACATCATAACCGAGCAACACAAACGTTCCGATATCATATCGGATATCAACCACAGGAGTCATACAACTTATGATACACATATCGATTCTGGGAATCCATGCATGCATGAGCGTTCTTACATTTTTTATGTAGTTGTGCGCAACTGAATTATACTAGATAGGAGGAGCTAGCTTATCATTTGCTTGCATCCTCAGGATGCAGGCTCATACTACTAACGGTCGTATTCACCAATTCGGCGTTTGCGAGACTGTTACTTATCAGCTGTACAAAATATAACAGTTTGTTAAACAATAGTGCCCCGCATTGAAAAAATAAACAAGAGGGATAAAAAAGTGAAAAATTATAAAAAAAAAAGTTTTTTACTTAAAATAGTACAATAAGCGAGTTCGTTTATTAATTATAACATAAACGTATGTTTTACAATAATTTCACTGTTAGTTTGATTAAATTCCGCTTCTTATACGTTTAAGTTATCTAAAAATAGGCAAAAAATCAACGAATTTTAGTGTGTACCTTGAATTTTCAGAATAATTTAAAAAAAATATTTTCTATAAAGGGGGGTTCTTTAAAAAAATCAATGCGGGCACTTATTCCCAATGCGGGCATTTATTGGTCAGACACCAATAAACATAAAATAAACTATAAATAAAATAACATAAGCAATAAGTCAATATTTTTAGTGAGAAGGACGAACCTGATGCTTTAATAATAAATTATCAACATTTGGCGTCAATTTTGTGAGGGTTAATCTTAAATCTCCTCGGCTAATGATGTCCAGTCTGTTTCTTTTTTTCGTTAGGAGATTGGTAACAGCGCTGAACCCCCTTTCCGCTAGGTATGACGATGGAAAGGAAATTAAAAATTTCCTCGCTATATTCCATAATACGGGATAAGTAACGGGTATGTTGTTTTGCAAACTGAACCTTAAGTTCTTCGTTTGTACTTAGTTCAGTCAGTTCCTCTTGTATTATGACATTCGTTTCTTCTATGTCACCATATGGATTAATTATCCACGGTGGTATTACCATAGTCAAAATATCCTCAAACCTAGATTCAAAATCTGAATAGAGGGCATTTAAATGTTGAACGTAAGTTGAAACGTCGTCTTCCTGGCAGCTTGTCTGTGACAAATTGGGGAACTGAGAAAATTCCAATATTTTGCTTCATTAGTTTAGCTCTGGCAAGAAACGCTGATAAGATGGACTTTGTTTTAATCAAATTTAAACTGTCGCCTTGTAATTGCAAATTAACCATATTAAATTTTGTAAACAAATCTGTTAAGTAGGCGATGTCTGTTTTCCTCTTCATTAAATTTTCTTTTAAAATTTTATCTTTAGTATCCAGGAATTCTAAAATAGTCTCAAAAAGTGCAAAAAATCTTGTCAAACATAAGCCTTTCGACAGTCAGCGTACTTCAGTGTGAAGGAGTAATTGATGAAAGTGTTCGTCATTTTCTTCACACAACTGCGCAAATAACCGCGTATTCAACGCGTTGCTTCGGATTCGGTTTACTGCATCAATGACTAAATGAAGTGATTCATGCAATCTAACACTCAAATTTTTAGCAACTAAATGTTGTCGTTGGATGACGCAATGTATTGCTAGCACCCCTGACACATTTTGTTTCAAATAGCTTATAAATCCACGATAACATCCAACCATGGCAGGTGCTCCATCTGTAGCTACTAATATTATATTTGATAAAGTGAAGTAATCCTTCAAAACATGAAATATTGATTCACCTTTAGTGTCGGTTATCAAAGTTCTTGCGAAGAGCAGTTCTTCGTAGATTTCTTGATTCATAACAAAACGAACATATGCCAATAATAATGCTGCATTATCAGGTAAAGTTGACTCGTCCAGTTGTATAGAGAAATGGGTCGTTTGCAAATAATTACATAAGAAGCTTTCAATATCAGAACTCATTTCATCAATACGTCTTTCGACAGTATTGTTGCTTAAGGGAATTCTTTTAATGATATCAGATGCAGGTTTGTGTAAAACAGTTTTTAAAACCTCTTCAACGGCTGGCAAAATTAACTTCTCTCCGATAGTATGCGGTTTTCCGGATTTTGCTATAAGTAACGAGATATTGTAAGACGAATATTTAACTACTAATAACTAAAGTCATGATTGGCGTAATTTATCTATCTTTGCTAACTACGAGTACAAAACTAAAATTTAATAAAAAATAATGTACTTACTTTTCTCCAGCACTCTCAAACAAAATAACACTGACTCACTATAATTTGTGTAATATACTATCTGTTTATATTTTCTAAAATATTTTCTTAGCACTTTCCTTTTCAAGATTCAGGAAACGAATAAACGTATTTGTCCCACATTCGTATTTATAGAGTGACGAATTGAACAACTCAGTGCAAGGTAGCGAAGCTCTGAGACTGCGACTCTCAGGTTTTTACAAGTTCAAAATGTATTGCGACCACAAAGCGAATACCAACATCCTACAACTTACACAATTTTATAAACATATATAATAAATTTTTTACTTCATAGGTACTTTTATAAATAATGTATATGTCTTTATATTATGAGATAGTATGATGTAAGTAAATAGGTACTATCAGTGTATGTGTTGAGATCCACTATCGTGGACCCCCATATTCATTTCATGGCCCCAAATTTTTTTTCGCTGACGTAGACTCCTAGGGGTCGATATAGACCACTTTGGGAATCAATGCAATAGTGGTATTCATCAAGACTTTTCGGCTTCTGATAACAAACTGACTTTCATACAAAAATCTTAAATTTCTTTAAGTTGGTGCCTTTTGACAAAAAACGAGAGAACCACGTCTAACCTCACTTTATAGCTGCTATGTGTTTCAATGTGGTTGTCATACACAGTGTCAGATTTGTAATGGTTTTGCATCATTGAAAAGTCATAAAAAAAGATCAGCTAACTATACATCAAGAGACAATAATTTCCTTGGTTGAAAAATATCGAAGTATTCGCCCAAATTCAGTTTGTTCGCCGCAATCAATTCTAACAAAGTTATAAAACTGTTGACTACCCACTGTAACTCTATTGTTTCCAACAGCTTTCCTTCTTAAGAACGTTGAGAGTCTCTATTTCTCGGGCCATTTGATCTGAACGATATCAACAAGAAAATGTGTTTTACCGCCTCAACTGTTCATAATATCGTCCATCGGAAACTTTTTATGCCGAAATCCAACAATAAAGAAAGCCAAGTCTAGCTTGTGTTGATAAACCACTGAACAAAGCACCAGAATATCGACATCTCGTCGCTAAAAGTGATCGGAAGTGGGCGATAGCTGGGTCATAAACGAAGTTATTTTCATTTCTGACATACAAATTGTAAGACCTTTATAGCAGGAAAGTTTACCTTACACTGAAATGCAACTGCTCTTGGTCACGTGGGCATTATGGAGTCTTGGGGTTACTTTTGCAAAAAGTAATACAACAACGATGTTTGAGGTTATTACATTCTGGCAACCATAATAGTTTATATACAGGGTGACTTTGAAGTTGAGTCATTAATTTTCAGATAATGATTGTAGCAGGAAGATAAATCAAAATATGTGTGTAGAAATAAAAAAAAATAAAAAAAAATGTTACCTTGTTTTATAAAGTATCCTACCGACAAGTATTTCAGTGCGGACCTGTATTTGATCGTGCGGTCTTGGAGCACCGGCATGCTCTCCCCTGTGAGGTCTTAAGTCACCTGATTCACGAGCCCTTTGTACTACATTAACAAAGGCACGAGGGGTTGGTTGCATTCGATTGGGAAACCGATCCGCATAAATCCGTGATGTCGCGTAAATAAGAATCGTTTTGAATGATTTCAAATACTGCTGTAATACGTCCAATTAAGTCTTGCTCTGTTTCTACTGCAGTTTCGTAAACCAAAGACTTTACATTTCTCCACAGGAAAAAAATCTAGCGACTTTAAATCGGGTGACGTAGGTGGCCCAGAAACTGCTCCACCCCTGGCAATCCACACCGCTGAGCCAAATACTCACGTATTTGTACAGCAAAGTGAGCCGGAGCTCCATCATGCTGAAACCACATTTGCCGTCGAACGTTCAATGGAATATTTTCAAGAAATTCTGGAAGAACTTCTTCCAAGAAACGCCGGTAAATAGATCATGGCAAAAATTAGATGCATTAAATCCTATTTAGGCAATTCAACGTGTTTCTAAATTTTAACGCGTCTTAGGGCCGTAGTGCCGTAGTGACACTTTTCCGGATATGGGTCCCTATACTCAAATGCTTTCTACTGTTATAATGAATAACCCCTACAAGTTTGATCCCATAGTTCTGAAACACATAGTATGTTAAAATGCTTTAAATGCGATTCAAATGACCTTTATTCCAGGTATTCTGAACTGTCAATAGCGAATCCGAAGTCCTTTCACGTGTAGCTTCCATCTTGATCATAGACGCGCAACGGTTTTTAGATATTTTTTATTAGTCGTTAATATACTGTAATTCACAAGAATGCACGTGCTACATGATTGTGTTACGTTATACATACGTGTACATTATATTGTTTTATATTAGCCATTTTTTCCTCAGTTGGCTGACAGCGTTCATGCAAGATGTCTCTAAAGTGTGTAAACAATCCAGATCAGTTTTGTTACGTGTCTGGTGATGTGACTTTTGCGTCTCAGAGACGGTCTATTACTCCACTAATAACAAAGGCATATCAGCTTTATTTCGGTTGTAAACTAGGTGATCAAGACAAACAGTGGGCACCCCACATCTGCTGTAATACATGTGCTTCAAGTCTGAGGAGCTGGTTAAATGGCAAAAAAAGGTCTATGCGCTTTGCTGTCCCAATGGTTTGGAGAGAGCCTACAAATCATATTAATGATTGTTACTTTTGCATGGTACCTTGTGTTGGACAAGCCACAGGTATGTCCAAGAAAAAAAATCGGTTATTAACTACCCAAACATACCATCTGCGATGAGACCTGTGCCTCACAGTGACGAAAATCCTATTCCAAAATCCCCAGAATCCTACACTTGCGAATCAGAAAACGAATCAGATCATGGCGATCGAGTGATTCGTCAGGAAGAAAATATGCCATTAACGTCAAGAGATCCTGATTTTATACCGAGCACGTCATGCCACCAACCGCACAAAATAACACAGTCAGAATTAAATGATCTTGTAAGAGATTTAGAACTTCCAAAATGTAAGGCAGAGTTATTTGGATCAAGACTGCAGCAGTAGAACTAGTTAGAAGACGATGTTTCGGTATGTGTTTTTCGTAAACGCCACAAAGACTTAGAACCATTTTTCAATATGGAGAATAACTTGGTTTTCTGCAGTAGCATTAACGGCTTACTGGCGGCTTTAAATATAAACTATAACCCAGAAGAATGGAGATTGTTTATAGACAGTTCAACATTGAGTTTAAAGGCAGTGTTATTGCATATTGGAAATATTTTACCATATCTTCCTGTAGGGTATGCAGTTCACATGAAAGAATCATATGACAATATGAAGTACCTAGTGACATGCATAAAATACGATGAGCACCAATGGCATATTTGTAGCGATGTGAAAGTTGTTGCACTTTTACTTGGGCTGCAGCTAGGCTACACAAAGTTTTGCTGTTTTTTGTGTGAATGGGATAGTCGGGCAAAGGCACTTCACTACACCAGACAAAACTGGCCTGTTCGTCAATTCCTAGAGCCAGGTCAAAAAAATGTACAGCATATGCCATTAGTAGATTCGAAATAAATTTTATTACCACCACTGCATATCAAGTTGGGCCTAATGAAAAACTTTATCAAGGCATTAGATAGAGATGGGTCAGCTTTTCAATACCTGCGTCAGAAATTTCCAAGACTAAGTGAGGCAAAGGTTAAAGAAGGTATTTTTGTTGGGCCACAGATTCGAAATATTTTGAAAGATACACAGTTTGAAAACACTTTAACAGGTATTGAAAAAACTGCTTGGAATGATTTCCGTCTGGTGGTCACTAATTTCTTGGGAAATAGAAAAGCTGACAACTATAAAACCCTTGTCAAAAATATGCTGTCATGCATGTCAAAAGATGGGCTGTAATATGTTTCTTAAGATACATTTCCTACACTCACACCTGGACTTTTTTCCTGACAATTGCGGAGCCGTAAGCACGGCGAACGTTTTCATCAGGATATTTCAACAATGGAAAAAAGGTACCAGGGAAAGTGGAATCCTTCCATGCTTGCAGACTACTTTTGGACTCTTGGTAGAGATGCTCCAGAAACGATCCATAAAAGAACAGCAAAAAGACAGCGCATATAGTGATTCTTATAAGTATATGAATCTTGTTACTTTTTTTAATATATCTTTAAAAATAAAAAGTTTTTTTTCTAAACCGCAACTAATTTTTTTATTTCATTGTCATTTTTGGATTCAGCGCCCCAAAATTAACAAAGAAGTGCACTTTTCCCACAAGATACAATTAAAAAACTAAAATTTGTTGTCCAGTACAATAATTATTTAGCGAAAAATTGCAAAACTACGCGTTTTTTACGACTCTAAGGTGCTAAAAACCCATTTTTACTATCGATGACCATATGGAAATGAAGATTTGCTCAATGAAGTAATTTGGGGCGCTGAATATGAATATCATAGTAAAAAAAAATCCAAAGTATCTTCAGACTGGATTTAGGGTGAAAAGTTGACAGGAATCCATTTTTCTGGACTAGCCGTAATTTCTAGCACCATATCGACATCGAATTTGGCATCTACGCACCCGATTTACCCAGGAAACAAGCTTCCATCTTGATCATAGACGCGCAACAGTTTTTAGATATTTTTTATTAGTCGTTTTTTGACAAAGTTGAATTCTTGCCAGTATCTCGAAAACGAGGCACTTTCGGACTGAATGGGCCATGGATTCGGTTTCAGCGACCCAAAAAGCGTATTATAAGACATATTGTGTTCACGTTCCCGACTGACCCATTTTGTGTCTGTTTGGTAACAATACCCCTTTACATGATAATTATATGTTAAAATGCTTTAAATGCGGTTCGAATGACCTTTATTCCAGGTATTTTCAACTGCCAATACCGAATCCGAAGTCGTTTCACGTGTATCTGATCCCGTTTATCAATTACATCTAATTATTTAGCGACAAATTGCAAAACTACGCGATTTTTATGACTCTAAAGCTGGGTTGTCACTGCGCGAAACTGTTTCGCGAAGATGATTCGCGAAAATGTTTCGCGGAATATGTGTCGGCGACGGGGTGAAACGTTTCGGGTTGAAAGGTGAAAACAAGGTGAGCCGCCAGTTTACGCGAGACAATGTTCCTGGTAACTCCCAGTGCAGCATTAGCATTTGCAACTATTACGGTGATTTTTTTGAGAAAGAAAAAGAAAAAAAGTAAAACAAGACGCCGATGGTGGAGCAGACAAATATTTCATCGCAGATCTCAATACGGAAATAGACTACTGAGAGACATGACAGCTGAACCTTGCGAAGATATCATCAGGAACTTTACTAGGATGACTACACAAGACTTCGAACATGTCATGTCACTAGTCGAGCCCAAAATAAGAAGAATGGATACCAACATGAGAGAGGCTATAACCGTTAAGGAGAGGTTGACGCTATGCTTAAGATTTCTTGCAACAGGTGATTCCTACACGAGCCTGCAATATCTCTTCAAAATATCGAAGAGCGCAATATTAAGAATCATTCCAGAAGTTTGCGATGCCTTGATCGAATCACTTCAGGAATATGTAAAGGTAAAATAATGCGTTTTATATGCTTTTATTTATAACAGAAAAAGTATTTAAAAGTGCATAGTTTTTACATAGGTACTCAAAAAAACATTCAAATGTTCAATAATATGGATTCAATAGTGGTTGCTGGAACGTTATGTTCTGATATGTCTGATGACGTGGGGAAAGTATTTGATATTAAAGGGGGTAAATCCCTCGAAGAGTCATGTGAAGTAGAAGACGACTCAGTAGGCGACGTGTATGGGGTGGGTGTTCGAAAGGTAGTGCCACTGCTGTATGGTGAAGGAGTAGAGTATACTCCCATATCTGCATCAAATAAAATATTTGCGAAGGCTCTTTTGACGTGCGCCAGTGTGGTTGGATCATATTTTCGCAGTTCATTTGCCAAGTTTAAGGCGTAGGTGAAGTACGGGTCATTCGAAGAATTAGCCGATGACTGTATGATCTTTAGAGCTTCATTAATCATTTGGGAGTCTACGTCTTGCTCTGCTGCCTTGCGTTTGGTAGCAGTTCTTTGCATCCTTCTGCTACCAGGAGCACGGAAAGTAGTGTTTTGTGACTCCTTGCTGCTCTGTGGCAACAGATGTTGTAGCTGCAGGGCTGACTGAAGTTGTCTCTGTAGAAACTTGCACTTCCAGTTGTTCCTAAAACAAAAATTATGCTTTCAGGTACCATCTACTACAGAGGAGTGGCTTCAGATCTCCGCCGAATTTGAAAGAAAATGGCAATTTCCTCACACAATAGGAGCCATAGATGGGAAGCACGTTGTACTACAAGCACCTATCAATTCAGGAACTGAATACTACAACTATAAACATTTTTTTAGCATTGTGCTTTTTGCATTAGTCGACGCTGACTACAATTTCATTTATGCTGACGTAGGATGCCAAGGCCGGATATCAGACGGTGGTGTATTTAAAAATACGACATTATACAAAAAATTAGAGGGGCGTGAATTAAAAATTCCGCAGCCAGAAGTCTTGCAAGTACCGTATTCTATAGAAGTACCATATTATATATTGGGTGACAAAGCGTTTGCTTTGAATGAATATACGATGAAACCATTTGATGGTAATCCCGAGCCTCGTTCAGCAGAACGTGTATTTAATTACCGTCTTTCTAGAGCTCGTCGCGTCGTAGAGAATGCATTTGGGATATTGAGTTCAGTATTTCGGGTATTGAGGAAATCCATGCTTTTGGAACCAAAAATAGCAACTAAAGTTACATTAGCAACAATATATTTACACAACTTTCTACGCAAACGTACTTCACGTGCAACATACACACCGCCTGGAAGTTTTGATACAGAAACACAAAATGGCGCAATTATAGACGGCTGTTGGCGCAATGATGGACCAACGACACCGTTGATGCCAACTCGCAACATTCCCCGAAGATCATCCAGACACCATACAAACGTCCGTCTGCATATAGCTAACCACTTTATTTGGAACGATTCTTTACCGTGGCAAGAAAACTATTAAGAATCTACTTACTTCAGAACTCTCTAGTACTTCTGTATCCATAGTTTCTCTTGGGTTGTCTTTATCGGATAAGAAATCGAAATATTTGTAAGCGAACCATTTAGAGTTATATACATCCTCGTTACCTGTAACAAATAATGATAATAGTAATAATAAATTAATAATAAGTTAATATCAGTCTATGGATTTGAAAACAGTAAAGAATGACTTACCGGACCCAGAGAGTCTGCTTTTGTTCTCCCTTGACCTCTCGCTCCTGTAGGAACCCATCAATGTTTTCATTTTTGATTTTAAAATATTGACAGGCTGCTGCATTTTTGCACTCATTTCCTTCCATGCGTCCTCTCTCTTCATTTTGTTATGATGAGCCTTATCTTTGGGGTCCCATAAAAATTTTTACCGCGAAAACTCACGGTGCACATGCACACTGCCCGCAACACAGAAGGCGAGGCTCTTTGATGCGCGATCCAAAACCGACTGGCGCTGGCTCACGTCGAAACATACTCGCGAAACAAGTTTCGGCGGTCTACAAAGTATAGACGATGCGAGGCTTGTTTCGCGAAGCAGTTTCGCGAAACAGTTTCGCGCAGTGACAACCCAGCTTAAGGTGCTAAAAACCCATTTTCACTATCGATGTCTACATGGAAGTAAAGCTTTGCTCAATGAGGTAATTTGGGGCGCTGAATATGAATATCATAGTGAAAAAATTCCAAAGTGTCATCAGACTGGATTTAGGATGAAAAGTTGACAGGAATCCATTTTCCTGGGCTAGCCGTAATTTCTAGCACTGTATCGACATCGAATTTGGCATCTACGCACCCGATTTACCCAGGAAACAAGCTTCGGTTCCGATCATAGACGCGCAGCAGTTTTTAGATATTTTCTATTAGTCGTTTTTTGACAAAGTTGTTTACTTGCCAGTATCTCGAAAACGAGGCATTTTCGGACTGAATGGGCCATAGATTCGGTTTCAGCGACCCAAAGAGCGTATTATAAGACATGTTGTACATGATAATTATATGTTAAAATGCTTTAAATGCGGTTCAAATGACCTTTAATCCGAAGTCGTTTCGCGTGTATCGGATCCCGTTTATCATTTAGATCTAATTATTTAGCGAAAAATTGCAAAACTACGCGTTTTTTGCGACTCTAAGGTGCTAATTTTCGTATTCTATAATATTTTTATTGTAAAACCAAAAAAAAAATGAAATGAAATACCCAATTTCCAAGTTTTATGACTTGGTTAACGTATAAAGGACGTTAATTTTATAAAATCTTAAAAATTAGTATAATTCGAAAACGGCTAATTTTCGGACAGTAGTTCCTATAGTAAAATCGACTCGGATTGGATTGTACTATCTCCCCCCACCGGCTCCGTATCTATTTTCCCGTCACCCTGTATAAATGACCAAAAAGAAGCAGGGTTATTTCTCACCGCCTCTTGAGCTTCTTGCATAGCTTTCGTACGCAACCTTTAACTGTGTTTTGATGAGTGATCTTAGTCTAATGAACTCGTTTCTGTAAAAATTATTTTTAGTTTGTTTCCATTTACGATAGTTTCTTGCCTTATCTTTTATATTCCTAATTATTTACGAACTATACCATCTTGGAAACTTTCGCTTGAAGTTTTTGGATAATGGTACATGCTTATCCAAGATTCCATAAAACTTTTTGTAGAACTCGTCAATTGCTTTATTAATTAACATCCTGAAATGCTTTCAACAATGACCAATCAATAATAGTTAACTCATTGTATAATGCAACAAAGTCGCCTTTTTTAAAATTATATACTTTAGTTGTAATTTATGATAACCGGTTAGTGATTAAAAATAAACTCTGATAAATATTTTGTGTGAAAACTTTAAGGACATAGGGGCTGGTTGTCACATGGGTTGGTTGTCACAATTGTTAAATCTCAGCAGCTCCGCAAGATGCAGTTACCTGGCGCGCTACACATCGTTTCTGCGTCCGCGCAGAACACTTGTATTCAGTACGAAAGTTATCGTTGGTAGATTAAGGTCGCACACACAAAAATAAACAAATCGCCTGACCTGAGTAAATTTTTCGTTTGCCACAAAATTTGTGTTTTCAAGACTACATTTGATAATGAAAAGAACTGTTGAATTTATTTTGCTCTTCAATAATCCGAATACGACTTAACGTAAGTATTGACTTTGAATTTGTTATTTTAGTGACGCTATCTAACCTTAGAAATTAATTATCTAGTGAGGCAGGTTGTCTCAAATTAGCGGGGGCCTCTTGTCACATGGGACAACCAGCCCCCACACTAGACGATTAGCTTTGCACATCATTCTACGTATTTTCAGGTTATATAAGCATGGTTCGAAATTTCAAAAGGAAGACTGAGAAGGGCAAAGCGCCGCCTGACGTACTTTTAAGAGCAGCTAGATTAGTGAGATTAGGTTCCTCAATAAGAAAAGCGCCAGCTGACTTCAATGTAAATTACCGTACTTTAGCAAGATACTGTAAGAAAATTTCAGAGTCTGAATTACTTGATGATCGAGTTGTTGCGCCGTCAATTTCAGTTGGCTACATCAAAAATGATTTAGTATTTGAGCCTGAACTTGAAAATCATCTAGTGGAATATTTACTCAAAGCATCTGATATTCATTTTGGATTATCACCCAAGGAAGTACGTGGACTGGCATATGAATTTGCTAATGCTAATTCCTTGAAAATTGGAAGCTCCATAAAACAGCTGGTCCTGACTGGTTTAGTGCGTTTCTAAAACGTCATCCTGTACTGTCTGTTCGCAAACCGGAAGCAACTAGTTTAGCAAGAGCCAGTAGTTTCAATAAAACGAACGTCAACGCATTTTTTGATAATTTAGCTTCAGTTATGGAAAAACATAAATTTGACCGCGCTGTTGCCAGAAGACGATTCAAACAGGTTGGTTCGATAGTTTCATCAGAAGGAGGAACTCTTGTTACTTTAGCAAGTGCAGTATCAGCTATTGGAAATTCCATGCCTCCTTTTTTCATTTTTCCACGGGTACATTTCAAACCACATTTTTTAAATTCGGCTCCTCCTGGCTCACAAAGTTCTGCAAACCCATCAGGTTGAATGAAAGAGTCTCATTTCTTGGAGTTTCTTAGATTTTTTCACCTTCATGTGAAAAGTACTGTGGAAAGACCGTGCGTGCTGTTACTAGATAACCATGGATCACATCTGAGTATAGAAGGACTTAATTTTGACAAAGCAAATGGTATTGTCATGCTCTCTTTTAACACTCACTGTTCACATAAACTTCAACCTCTTGACCGCGCCGTTTTCGGCCATTTTAAGACATATGTATATACTTCCTGCGATGCTTGGTTTTTAAATGATTCCGGTAAGACCATGACTATACACCTTAGGAAAAACCATTGTTATACATGGGAAATCATTTCTTGGCAACAGCGCATCGGCTCGTCTACTTTCATCGCTATTCGTACATATTTCCTACCGCGCGTGCCGTCGTCAAGGGCGATAAGGGATTTATGACTCACTCTGCGGTTGGGTTTTGTGTAGGAAAGGTGCGTCTTTATTTAATCCAAAATATCTTAAAAATGTACTCGCAAGAAGAAAAGTTTCAAATGATAAAATGGTACATCCAGAATAATTCGGCACGCGCGGTTGTTGAATTATTTGCGGTACGCTTCCCAGATCGGCCAATTCCGTCTCACGCAACGGTTATAAATACCTACGAAAAATTCAAGAGGGTGGGCTGCTTACATAAGTGCCATAGCTGCATGCACCCTGAAGGTTGGAAACCAAAAATTAGCGAGAAAAGGGAGGAGATCGAAACTGCTGTTTGTGCCGCTGCAGAAGTATCTGAGCCATGCTCAAGCAGAAAAATTGCTGAAATGGTACCAATAGCCGATCTCACACCCAGAACAACAAGAAATATTTTGCATCGCAACGGCTATCATAGCTTCAAGGTTGGAACGGTTCAAGAAATATTTCCTTTAGACAAATACCGTCGAATGAAGTTTTATGAAACGGTCATGGAGAAGGCGAACAGGGATGGAAGTTTTATTGGTAACATTGTGTTTACTGATGAATCCACATTCCCTCTCCACGGTCATCACAATCCTTCAGTCGTTCGGTATTGGTCTCGGGAAAATAAACACCTCAGTATTCCCGTCCGCACGCAGTATCCACAGAAACTGAATGTGTGGGCAGGAATTCTAGGTAATAACATTATCGGGCCGTTCTTTATTGATGGAACTCTTACGGCTGCAAAATATTTGGCGTTACTACAGACGCAGATTGTTCCTGCAATTAGGCAGCTTGGCATTGATCTCGCTAATATTTGGTTCCAACAAGATGGATGCCCGGCGCATAATGCGGCGATCGTACACACTTACCTTGAAAGTGTGTTCGGCCACCGGATTATTGGCGGTAACGGAACAATAAAATGGCCTCCTAGATCACCCGATCTAGCGCCCAATGATTTTTTCTTGTGGGGTTATGTGAAAAGTACTGTTTACATTTTCAATGAGAGAGCAGACAATTTGCATAACCTACAGGTGAAAATCGTTGAAGCGCTCGGGCAAATACAGCCTTCTACCCTCTTGAGAGTTCGTCAGGAGTTTTATAACCGCCTGACATACTGTTCATTGAATGAAGGAGACGTTTTTGAGCCCCAGCTGTGAAGGACCATTTGAAAGATTTGTGTTCATTATTGCATTTTATTTTTGAGAACTTATTTCTTTGTTAGAATATCTTTTTATTTTCGTTACACATTTTTAAAGTGTACTATTTTTTGTTAGAGTGGGTATCTTCTTATTTTTGTTATGAGACGCAACCTTTATTGCTACAAAACCAATTATCCATTCATAAAAATAAGTAGAGTGATTTAGGTGATTTCGTGAAATCTCGAAATCACCGAAATCGGTTCACAGGACGTCCAATCGAACTGGTGCGTAATGCGCGCATCTACTGTACTTCTTCTGTCGACTCAACGCATACTGAAATTTGCAGCAGACCGCAGACCTGTAGCACGAATGAGAATAATAGGCAGATACGCTGTGTTGCCAATTTGAGTAGAGCTTCCCGAATGGTGGGGAATTTAGAGTTAAGTGTTGATTCATTCAAGCTTTTAATCAGCATGGCCTAGACGTTAGAACTTCATAAAGATAACATTGAAGCTGAATATGCTGCTGGAGTATAGTGTTTCGAATATTCAAAGCGGAGCGGGACACTATACTCGTTCAATGGGTCATCAAGCCACAGTCTTTTCAACAAAGAAATTATTTTACGAAAATGCGTTATATTTTTACGATTTTGTCGTCACCAAATCTCTGTTTCTCAAAATGTACGTCTATTGTAGAATTTTCAGCAAACTAAGCAAGAAACGTGGTCTAGTATTTACTCAACATTACGGATTTCTCGAAATACATTAAAAAATGTGAACCAGATA